GCGACTATGATGGAAGTGTCGAAGCATATTGCTCTAACTCAAGGGTGACAAAACTAATTTCCCTTCCAGCTAGAATTATTCAATCAATCACGAAAAAGTTGCTCTGTAAAATAGCTCAGAACTTCCTATTGCTGCAAAACCTTACCAAGGGACACATACTATTATACCATGTTTTAATATAAGACAATCGTCCGAAAAGTGGGATAGATATTGATTTACCTGTGTGGGTTTCCAATGTTATTCAAAATTAAAACGCGCTGGAAGAAATGCACATTCATCCAATTGAGTGAGGGTGGGAGGTATTGCGCTCTGGATTGCTCTTTATAAGATATATGAAGGGTTTTTTGCAGCTCTCTAACTGCTGCTACGAAAAATGAACATACTCAGCGCACAGTTAGCTCTACCACAGTATCCTCAAGACCTTAAATAACTTTCAAAATAAGCAGTCTAGCATTGTAACGTGTGGGATTAAGTTAACATGAGGTGGTGCGTTTACTGTGGTCAGTTTTTATTCGCTACAGATATAAACGAAAGCCCTGTGAAAGAATCCTTCCAGCTGTTGGATTGCTCCCTGTCGGTGACACCTCCGCCGGGCATTCCTACTATAAGAGATGATTTAGACATCTTTCAAATCAATGTTCCCCTACCTCGAAAATCCACTCCTTCCGGTACTGCCGATCCCATTGAAGACGTCTCGATGGAGCTCGATTAGTCAAAGTTGGAACCTCCTGACTCCTCTATTTTTGTACAGTATGGACTCGTTTTATTGGTTGTGTGTTGACACTGCGGATGAGGTGATTGAAAGCTTTGTATTGGGCAATTCGATTTAAAAGTATAGATTCTTACTCTGAATTACCACATCCCTTATTGGCATCGTGTAGAGAAGGTACTTCGTGAATGTAACACGTGTTGGTTACCAGCTTACGATAACTGATTTCGCAACGTTGTGTCCTATAGATTTCGCCTAGGGAAGTCACTCTTCTTCAATTCTGGAAGATCAGGTGGGTTGGTTAAGTAGTACCTTTTAATTGTCGATGTCGGGGATGGATTGCATTTGGAGATACTGTCGACAAGCGTATTGACAGTAAAGGACAAACATGGGAAAGATGTAATTGCAAAAAGTCTTACGGAAAATTAGAACAAACAGAAGGTACGAACTGTAGGTACTAAGAGTGGGGTTTCTCTTGCTCTAGCCCATCCAGAATTGTGACGGAAAGGAACGAAAATTCGGCACTCCACTAGGATACAAATTCCACATATCCCAGAGAGGGAATTCCTCTATTTCCTCCTGTTGTCGATTGAATAGGTCAAAGAAGTCGTATGAGTAACTCTGCTCCGCTTCGTCAAACAACTGCGTTAGGGGTTGTGAACCACTTCTTCCTCTGTATGCTACAAGAGGTCTTCCCAGTCGGGCGTTGTTCCGTGGGCGTGTATTGGACATGTTAATACTCAAAATGGGTCGCGGACTGCATGGAGTTGGGAACCTTCTACCCGCACAAGATCCATTTGGGGTCAGTTGATGAGACCCACCCGGATTGGGCATCCTCTCTCGAATGGTGAAGTTGATGCGTGGAGGTTCGAATGGTCTTTTTGGAGTCGTGGTTGTTTGTATCGGACGGCCGCCTTCAAACTCCGGTGTCTGTTCGGAGCAGACTTCAGGAGGAGCATCGCCATCTTCTAGGTCGGCATACTCGTTAATGAGGCTACAAAGGTCATCTTTAGCTTCCTTTAACTCAGCTTCCTCCAGCCCCTCACACACAAACCAATGGACGAAAGCACACTTCTTGAAGAGCATGTCGAAGTTATTCAATGTAGCCTTAAATGGATCAATTACGGCCGTATTCCCGGCAACCATACACACTGAAGTAGGCGCAGCCGCCATCATACAAGTAGGCACTGTTACGGGAGAAAATGGCGTGACTCCCACCTTGAACTTGTTGGGACACCAGTCAAAAAACTCACATCCGTTCACGAACTCAGGATAGTGTCGCACATCCTTAAGAGCTGCGGACACTTCACCCGTGGATGCCACTCCACGATAAAGCATAGCCACTGAGATAAAGCACCGCTTTTCAATGTTGCAATCCAAAGTGGTTGCCTCTTGTGTGAAGACTCTGCGAGTGATGACTGGGACACTAAACACTTCGTGATGTTGACTCGCCTTGGAGAAGAGAGGAGTGGTGCAGACAATGGGGAATCGAATTCGAGGGTAGGGGATGATGTTAGTGAGAAGGTCTATAATATTGGCATGTTGATTGCCCATAAAGGAGAATCTGTGCGAGAGATAGATGGAGCTGACAAGCATGGCAACGAGGCGGTTTAATGTCGTAAAGGTCGGTTTTTCGACCAAAATCTGTGCAACGCAGCGGTCTGTGATGGCTTTGTTATCCATCAGGAGAGAGCAGTCAAGAGTATCCATGGTAGCTTTCATACAGAGGAGAGTGTTGTATGGATCTACAGTGGACTGGGAGCAAATTCTAGACGGGTAAATAGCGGTGGAGAAGCGCACTTTTTTTACGTACTCCTCGAAAAGGCATTCCAAGAGAAGAGCGGTAAGACCAGAGCCTGTTCCACCGGCTAAGGAGTGGACAATATTAAATCCTGCGAGACCATCACAACGCTCTGTCATAATCCGAACCTGTTCCATCAACGAATCAAGCATCTTTCGACCAACATTGATGTAGGCACGTGCGTAGTTATTTGCTGCATCTTCCTTGCCAGTCAGAAGATTACTTGCTTTCCACAGCTTTCTGTACGCCCCGACACGTACCTCATCTACAGCACGAACAGTATCAGCCTAGTGATAAACGTTGACATAAGAATGGTTACTTCAAGATTCTATGTACGCTTTATCTTGTCAACTCTGCTGTCTGACTAAAACGGAGTACAAGACTTATTTAAGAATAGGAACCAGCTCCGTCAATGAAAGGGTACCCCAAATTATTTTGAAGACTTTGCTTGCTGAAGGTTTTTTCTTAAGGCAATAGTGCTTTCAACCAAGATTTGTGTCCAGTCATGCCTGTGGAATGGACCACAATGATGATGGTAAGGTAATTAATTTTTTTAATATGCGGTTAGTTTTGAAGCTACCGTCTGATATAGTGCATCACCGCTACATAGCAAAACAGTTCCTTGATCGGAAACTTATTTGCCTACCTTCCGACGTTCAAACACTGACAACGATTGGCCTAAGATACACCAACATAAGTATTTTCTTCAATACCTTTCAATTATTCAGCTATAAATTG